AAGACTCCATTCCTTTCTCTCCTTCCCTTTCTCTTCTCTTCCCTTTTCCCACCCCCTCCCTTCTTTCCTCTCTCTGTTCTTCCTTCCCCCCACCCGGCTCCCTTCTCTCTCTCTCTGCTCTCCTATTCCCCCACCCCCTACTGTGTACTAGGTCATTAATTGTCCTCATATCCAAATTGAGTCCATAGGATTCTTGCTTCTCCATTCTTGTGATGCTTTAATAAGAATAATGTGTTCCACTTCCATCCAGGTTAATACAAGGAAGGTAAGGTCTTCATCTTTTTTAATGGCTGAATAGTATTCTACGATATACACATACCACATTTTGTTAATCCATTCCTGGGTTGATTGGCATTTAGGCTGTTTCCCCGTTTTGGCGATTTAAATCAAGCTGCAATAAACAGTCTAGTACAAGTCTGCTTATGATAAAAGTATTTTTTTCCTTCTGGGTAGATGCTCAGTAATGGGATTGCAAGATCATTTGTGAGGTCTAGCCTGAGTTCTTTGAGGGTTCTCCATACTTCCTTCCAAAAAGATTGTATTAGTTTGCAATTCTGCCAGCAGTGTAAAAGTGTTTTCTTTTTTCCACATCCACGCCAGCACCTGCAGTTTTGAGATTTTGTGAAGTGGGTCATTCTGGCTGCAGTTAGATGGTATCTCAGGGTGGTTTTGATTGCATTTCTCTAATAATTAGGGATGATGAGCATTTTTCATGGATTTGTTAGCCATATGTCTGTCTTCTTTGGAGAAGGTTCTATTCATGTCTCTTGCCCACTGATATATGGGATTGTTGGCTTTTATATATGTGGATTAATTTGAGTTCTCTATAGATTCTAGTTATCAAGCTTTTGTTTGATTCAAAATATGCAAATATCCTTTCCCATTGTGTAGGTTGTCTATTTGCTTTGGTTGTTCTCTTCTTAGCTGTATAGAAGCTTTTCAGTTTAATTAAGTCCCGTTTGTTTATTTTTGTTACTGCACTTGCCAGGGAAGTCTTCTTCATAAAGTCTTTTCCCAGGCCAATATCTTCCAGGGATTTTCCTATGCTTTCTTTGAAGTTTTTTATCATTTCATGCCTTAAATTTAAGTCCTTTATCCATCTTGAATCAATTTTTGTGAGTGGAGAAAGGTGTGGGTCCAG